TCATCCATCTATCCATCCATCCATTCACCCTCTATTTATTATTCCATCCACACATCCATCCGTCCATTCACTCTCTTTTTATTAATCCACCCATCCATCTATCCATTCAGTCACCCATCCACCCACTGACCCATTTATTATCCATCCACCCATTCACCAGAAAACTTTTTCTGACCAATGTATATCTTCTCTCCATTGATACCTCTGCAATATACCCTCCCACCACGCCCCTCCTACCCATCCATCTACTCATCTATCATTGAAAGGTTTTGTTTTCAAATTCAACATAATCTCTTTTCTATTCTATTCAGCAGAAATATATGAAAGCGATCTGAATTTCATGGTGATTGAAAAACAGCAAAGCCCATGCTTGCTTTTAAAATTAATTCGTTTCTTTAAAAAAAAAAAAGAAAGAAAAAGAGAAAAAGTAGCTTTGCTGCAACAACATATTTTATGCAAATCCAACTGAAATCCAAATTTACATATAAAAAAAAATGAAAGAAAAAAATATCCACTTCACAACAGGACGGACTTTCCCGTAGAAAAAAAAATCCCTTGTTTTCCAACTTCTGACTCGTTTAGATTGCAAAAGCATACATGGTCTGTTTGAACAATTAAGTAATCGCTCTTTCATGGGGTGTGAATTTGTTAAATAACGACACTTCCCCCTCTCCACAACGTAATTTCTTATTTAATGTTCGCTCCCTATGAGAGGAAGCTGGCACAGAGAACGGTTGCTAGGTGACGGAAAAGGTATACAACATCAATAATGCAGCCGTGACAGGGAAGTCTAGGTGCAGACAAGAGAGTGTGAGTTCCCTACAGGCACCGGGAATGCTTTTCTTTTCAAAGTTTTAATTTCGTTTAAAAAAAATATTTTTGTTTTGTTAAACGTGTTTTTGTTTCTTGGCTCGAGGGCGAAAGCTGGCATGTATGAAAGGGTAATCAAAGTGAGACAAAGAATAAGATAGAGTTGGCCCCACATGCGCAAAGCACAATAGGAACGTAATTATAACGATTAACACTTCTATCTCGGGACAACATTTTTGGGTTATAAATGAAAACAATCAAGTTTGACTAAACTGATATGGTTATCTTATTTACAGTAATATTTATTTCTACTTTGAAAAAAGAAAAAACACAATTAAAATTTTGAAATCTGCAGATGACGTTATGGTCTCAAGATATTTTAATAGTAAATCTAGATAAACATGTTACTCTGAAACAGAAGGCCAATAAGCAGAGATGTCAATGGTTTCGTAAGTGACCGTCTTAATCTAGCCTTTGTGACCTTGGGTTGATGCCATAATCATGCCTTGGCCTGATAACAGGGAGGTAAAACGTCGGTCAGAAGAAAAATAAAGTCACGCACTCACTGAATGTAACCAGGAGCTCCTTATAGTCAGTCCCCCATACCTTTTTGAAGTAGACTCGACCAGTCTGGTGTTATCATAGCTTATATTAATCAGTACGTGTGACTGCTTATGAGAA